TCCCCTGCTTACCTAGAACTCAACGCCTAACCTCAATATTGCTCACCTTATTATACCACTTCACACGGGAAATAGAGCACAGGCACCTATGACCGAAGACAGCTAATCTTTTCATGTCTTCCACTCTCAGTGGCCAGGTCTCACAGCCATAAAGGAGGACGGAACGGACTGATGAGCAGTACAGCCACCCTTTCGTCGTTAGTCGGATATCACGTCTACGCCAGAGACGGCGTAAACTGGTGTACCTTTCACTAGGTCAGAGCACCTTAAAGGACGTGGTAGGAGAGTACAAGGAGAAACAATACATCTGTGGAACACTGGTTCTCACACCCGGCTATTAATTCCTAAGACCAACTCCCAGAATTGGTGTAGGCGCCGTCAACTAACTCATCCAAGAAGGCACAGAAATTTACTAGAAAAAGGATTAGCATAGGCTTTAAGCCTTTTATCTTCAACCAACAAATATGAATCTAGAGAAGTTGGTCAAGATTACTCAGTAAGTTAACAAGTTCCGAGCACAAGTGATTTGACTTATCAAACACCATCATGACTAAATCTACGGTAACCAAGAGGATACCCAAATGTTATATACTCGTCGCCAATTTATTGCCATGTACTGGTCGAGAAACTAATAGTCCTGACGCAAGAAGGCGGAAATCAGAAGACCACTAGGTTTGCGATGATACTTCTATTTTCCAAACACACGGAGAATGCAAAAGTGGTATCACACCAAAGTGTCACACAAGATTGTGAGAGCGAAATATATATATATATGAATGTACAGACAAGTGTGTGAACAAACCAATAGACAGTCTTAACATGAATGGCTTATTATAATGGAGTATCGATCCATATATACATATCAAAATATAGCAGACATGTCAACAACCACACATATAATATGGATATATGTCACCAAGCAACGGACTGTCGACACTCATATTATATTATATATAATATAAGGGGAATATACATTGTTAAGGAGACAGGTTCACCAAAGTGAAATGGTCACAGACTAAGTGAGCAAACAGAAAGAGAGACCAACATACACACACACATAAATATATATATGTGGATACATATCACATTGCCCGTCGACCAAGGCGATGACTAGGCGTGCATACGTAACACATGTCCTAACCATCTCAGTCTTTGTAACTTCACAACCTCGTCGATTGATTTCCCCTGCTTACCTAGAACTCAACGCCTAACCTCAATATTGCTCACCTTATTATACCACTTCACACGGGAAATAGAGCACAGGCACCTATGACCGAAGACAGCTAATCTTTTCATGTCTTCCACTCTCAGTGGCCAGGTCTCACAGCCATAAAGGAGGACGGAACGGACTGATGAGCAGTACAGCCACCCTTTCGTCGTTAGTCGGATATCACGTCTACGCCAGAGACGGCGTAAACTGGTGTACCTTTCACTAGGTCAGAGCACCTTAAAGGACGTGGTAGGAGAGTACAAGGAGAAACAATACATCTGTGGAACACTGGTTCTCACACCCGGCTATTAATTCCTAAGACCAACTCCCAGAATTGGTGTAGGCGCCGTCAACTAACTCATCCAAGAAGGCACAGAAATTTACTAGAAAAAGGATTAGCATAGGCTTTAAGCCTTTTATCTTCAACCAACAAATATGAATCTAGAGAAGTTGGTCAAGATTACTCAGTAAGTTAACAAGTTCCGAGCACAAGTGATTTGACTTATCAAACACCATCATGACTAAATCTACGGTAACCAAGAGGATACCCAAATGTTATATACTCGTCGCCAATTTATTGCCATGTACTGGTCGAGAAACTAATAGTCCTGACGCAAGAAGGCGGAAATCAGAAGACCACTAGGTTTGCGATGATACTTCTATTTTCCAAACACACGGAGAATGCAAAAGTGGTATCACACCAAAGTGTCACACAAGATTGTGAGAGCGAAATATATATATATATATGAATGTACAGACAAGTGTGTGAACAAACCAATAGACAGTCTTAACATGAATGGCTTATTATAATGGAGTATCGATCCATATATACATATCAAAATATAGCAGACATGTCAACAACCACACATATAATATGGATATATGTCACCAAGCAACGGACTGTCGACACTCATATTATATTATATATAATATAAGGGGAATATACATTGTTAAGGAGACAGGTTCACCAAAGTGAAATGGTCACAGACTAAGTGAGCAAACAGAAAGAGAGACCAACATACACACACACATAAATATATATATGTGGATACATATCACATTGCCCGTCGACCAAGGCGATGACTAGGCGTGCATACGTAACACATGTCCTAACCATCTCAGTCTTTGTAACTTCACAACCTCGTCGATTGATTTCCCCTGCTTACCTAGAACTCAACGCCTAACCTCAATATTGCTCACCTTATTATACCACTTCACACGGGAAATAGAGCACAGGCACCTATGACCGAAGACAGCTAATCTTTTCATGTCTTCCACTCTCAGTGGCCAGGTCTCACAGCCATAAAGGAGGACGGAACGGACTGATGAGCAGTACAGCCACCCTTTCGTCGTTAGTCGGATATCACGTCTACGCCAGAGACGGCGTAAACTGGTGTACCTTTCACTAGGTCAGAGCACCTTAAAGGACGTGGTAGGAGAGTACAAGGAGAAACAATACATCTGTGGAACACTGGTTCTCACACCCGGCTATTAATTCCTAAGACCAACTCCCAGAATTGGTGTAGGCGCCGTCAACTAACTCATCCAAGAAGGCACAGAAATTTACTAGAAAAAGGATTAGCATAGGCTTTAAGCCTTTTATCTTCAACCAACAAATATGAATCTAGAGAAGTTGGTCAAGATTACTCAGTAAGTTAACAAGTTCCGAGCACAAGTGATTTGACTTATCAAACACCATCATGACTAAATCTACGGTAACCAAGAGGATACCCAAATGTTATATACTCGTCGCCAATTTATTGCCATGTACTGGTCGAGAAACTAATAGTCCTGACGCAAGAAGGCGGAAATCAGAAGACCACTAGGTTTGCGATGATACTTCTATTTTCCAAACACACGGAGAATGCAAAAGTGGTATCACACCAAAGTGTCACACAAGATTGTGAGAGCGAAATATATATATATATGAATGTACAGACAAGTGTGTGAACAAACCAATAGACAGTCTTAACATGAATGGCTTATTATAATGGAGTATCGATCCATATATACATATCAAAATATAGCAGACATGTCAACAACCACACATATAATATGGATATATGTCACCAAGCAACGGACTGTCGACACTCATATTATATTATATATAATATAAGGGGAATATACATTGTTAAAGGAGACAGGTTCATCAAAGTGAAATGGTCACAGACTAAGCGAGCAAACAGAAAGAGAGACCACCATACACACACACACATATGTATATATATGGATACATATCACCAATCCACAAGTTACGACTGTGATGTATGCTGAAGCTCTAAGCCACGACTCGAAGCTCTACGACACTTCCAGGCAGTAATTTCGCTGTCTCAACACTCAAGACGGACAGATTGTTCAGATCATTTGCGCACGCCTGCTTCCCGGCCAGAACAAAATATCGACAAGCCGATAGAGAATAAATGGAATCCCGACATTCGACGCATAAAGCCGTAATCGCAATTATATTATGGTTACCACATAAAAAGCATAACACAGAAAAACTGTTAACGAAACTCCTTCCCAACTATGTACTTGAGCTTGTGAATAATAAAATCTAAAGCATACTTCACAAAACTGAAGCGCCATAAACCATTCGTATCAGTTTGTGGGCTTGAATGACATAGTCATGAATAACAAAAGAACCAACCAGTGGTCACTGAAAATAGGATCAATCTTCAAAATCATTATGCCAGCAAATCATAGTAGATTACACAAGTATTCATACCATGCAAATAGTTGTAACTATAAACATTTGCATAAACTGACTCTCTCTCTCTCTTTTGCTGGGATAATGCACAAGATAGAAAAGTGATACAAATATTCGCTCACTCCCAGATTTAACTTCAATATTGTACACGTCACTTGAAGCCCACAGCTCCTATCCTAGTACAATTTCTTAACTCATTTGCAGCGCCATACAGACTTATTGAGTTTCACCAGACTACAATAAGCAGAAGACCGTCTAACGGATATAGAAAATCACAGAGTGAATCTATCTGTGACACTTAAAAAGACTTTGAGCCGTATCATCAATTGTCTCCAGCCAATGGTTGTTAGAATCCCGAAGAACCCAACCACAAAGCCTACATTTCCATACTCGGCTCAAACTAGCCGTCAAAAACTTCACAGACTAACTACAAGTTTTGGCTTGACCTCTAGTAACTCTTTTCCAACCTTACTTCTATATCAGTTAACAGTACCGGTCATGGAAGGCAACAGCCAGGCATGCTTAACACGTGTCCAAGCCATCTCAATCCACGTAGCATCGCAATCCCATCAAATCATACTTTCCCTTTTTACCTGACAATTGACGCTTAACCTCAACAGTACTCACCACACTATATCATCTAACACCGCCGACATACATGCTCCAAGATAGCTAACCTTTTCATAGTTTACAGGCATAAAGGAAGGCGGAGCAAACTGCCGCGCATCACTTACATCTTTTGTCCGACAACCAGATATTATATGCCTAGATCACAGACGATGTAAGTTGGTGAGCGACACAAGAACCTTTTGTATCCGTGCTGAGATTTTGTCAGCAACCAGTCCCCGTAGAGGCTGACACACTTTCTCAAATAAGTGAAGTGGTCAACACGCTCCAACAACCATTTCACTCCTCATCTTTAACCTAGGAGTCAATGTGGTCTAGTTTTTTAGCATCATCTTAAATTTGACAGGAGATAATCGTTTCATTATAAATTATTTAAATTAATCCCAGCGTGTTAAGAAAATAAAACCAAAACAAGATAAGAAAATCAAAACAAGATTCTTAACACGCTGGGATTAATTTAAATAATTTATAATGAATCAATCTGACTCGGCGCTCAAATTATTCCAGGAAATTCGTAACACCTACGGTCTGGAAACTTATAAAGATAATCGTTTGCCAAACATTTGACGACTACTGCTGCTGCTTATGAAAGTTAAACTTTGAAGCACACAATATGCTAATGCAGTAGAGAAAGTTGAAGGAATTGACTGAATAAAATAAACACATATCTGAATTGTGATAAAAAGCCAAAAATAAACTCGGTTTTTCATATAAAATGTATTTTTATGTACCAGGAATCAAAGTTAAATAAAGGTATAACAAGCAAAAAGAGGTCTTCAAGTTACTTTATATAGCAGTCTTACTGAAGCTGATACGCAAATGCGAATTTTCCGTCAGCTGACAATTGTGAAGGTCCTATACAAAAATGAAGAAATAAAATTAATCCGAAGGGAAAAACTTGACGTACTATTAACGCCTGAATAGCCATATCTACATTTTCAAGTTGAATCAGTGCCATCTTCTTATCCTTCCTAAAGAAACAAGGTAAGAAGAAGAATTAACAACACGCAGAAATACACGACAACTTACATCATAAATTTGAAATCTGTAACATGATATCCTTTGGTTTCAAATATCATTCTAACTTCTTCCTCTGTAATCGCAGAGGGGATATTACTTAAATGCAGGACATGATTTGGCGCATAAATATTGGCAAAATTCTTAGAATTTGGTTTACGAAATCGATGAAGTGAACTGTTCGTATAATCCTTTGTCAATCCGACATCTGTATCCTCTTTTGGCAATTGAACAGTATTGAAGCGTGAGACAGCTATTTTCAACGGTTTTCCATACAACGGTTGCCCATTCAGATAATAAAGAGCTAGGAAGTAAGCATTAAGGTAATTGTTCACAAGACATACCTGTCAGCGCCTGTTGAGGGTCTGAGAATTGAACCAAAGCAGTACTCTTTTTGTTAAACATTATCTTGACCCGAGTTACATCACCATAAACACCTGTGATAAATTAAAGTTATATTCAATTAATTATGTGAGCATCTTGATTGCAGAAGTGATTAGACAAATTTGGAAACAGTAAGAATAACTAGATAAGTAAAGTGTTTCTAAATGCATATAACATCTTTCAAACAGAAAGAGATTTGAAATTCAGTCGAAAAGAATGAAAAATAAATAATAATAATAATAATAAGCAAACCTACCGAAAAGTGTAAATAATGCATCTGGATATACTTTCTAGCTCAGAAAACAGTGGTAGTAGTAGTAGATATAGAATCCAAGTACATACACATATAATTGGAATAGAACACCAAGGTAAACACGTGAAAACAAACATTCAAAATGAATATTTGTAGGCATGCGAATGATATGTATGTGTAGAAATAATTAATTAATTAATGTAGGCCGAAACGTGGTAAAAATAAAGACATGAATTAAGTCCGTGTAGACAGACCACCATAACAGAGTTGATTTGTACACCGAGCATAAATTGTAACCATTTCGTAAGTGTAAATTTAAGCACCACATCACAATGAAGTCGAACCGTAGACAATCACATTGGAATCAAACGATGATAGAGGATAGAGAAGAAAAAGGAAAACAGTAAAAAGCGATAAGTTAGAAAAAACTCAAGTAGCAACAAGCATGTTTTATCACAATGGATAAAACAATAAATAATAAGAAACAGAATAAGATGAATTATCACAAGAGAAACAAAACGAAAAAGGAAATGTTTAAAAAGATGACAAATTAAGGATAATCAATACATACCTCCTCGTTGAGATTCGAGACTATCAACACAGTACTAGCCCCAGTTTGTCCCACATTAGGTACAGACTGTTGAACTAAAGTAGGCACAATCTGTGTCTGATTTGGGACACTCGGGAGGGCAGTACGCTGAGTTGACAATGCTGCCGCATTTATTATATTTCCTGATGTTGGGTTTACAGCAGAATTTCCACCTTGAGCAGTTAAAGCCATGAAACTGGCAGTAGCTGCGGCTGCAGCTGGTGTTAAGGCAAGACCAGACTGTTGAGCAAGAAGAGTTAACTGAAGAGCAAGTTCATTGATGCCTGAGGGCGGGGCTTGAGGAACGGTAGTGAATGCTGCAGTTGGATTAGCTAGAGACAAACCCTGTCCCAGTGTGGGTTGTTGAGTAATCGCATTCACAGTCTGATTTACTGTAGTAGTATTTACACCGCTTGGTAATGCTTGTAAACTATTTAATTCCTCTTCAGTAAGAGGTGAAATGGTGTAATCACGACATTTATCATTTTCACGGCGAACTTCCAAAGGTCCTCGGGTTTTCGAAAACTCCACATGAAGAGAACAACAACCAGTATATATATTCTGACCGTTGAGGAGCTAAAATACGGAAGTTTACGGTAAGATAATTTTAAAAGGAAACATTAAAGACGAAATATAAGTTTTAAAATTGTAAAAGAGTTATAATATTAAGTAAAAAGGAGAAATGTTGCATAGGATTTTGCTGTTGACTAAAAACAGGGATGTGAATGACATCACACTGTAGACAGAAATTAACTGCATCACTAATAGTAAACCATTCCTGACTAAACATCAGAAATATTGCGGTTTTCAAGTATGGGCAATAATCATACTTAATACCCCCAAACTGATTAGAATTAATTCTAATTAAGAACACTATGAATTCATAAACAGATGTGTTAAGATCAAAGTTCATTTGAACACGTCTAAAAAAACAAAAGTAATATTACACCAAGGGATTGAAGTATTAAATGTTGTTTTAAGTATATGATGCAATTGGAATATGAATAATTTTCAAAAACGTTGATAGTAGATGACGAAATAAATTCTTATTGAATTAAACAAATTTATGTGTAATTTAGCTAGCAAACTGTAAACAAGAATGGTTCACTATTACAATGTTAGAACACTGTCTAATTAGAAACAAACTGATTGTTTGAATTATGTACAATATTCTTCCTCAATAAACACGTTAATGAAAAAATTCTAAAGATAGTCAAACCCTATAGCATCACTTTGATACATGAGAAATATCTTTTTAATATGATCGTAATCAACAGGAATTTAGGAAGTTGAGAGGATATTATATATTTAAGAATGTAGCTCATTAAAAACACGAAATAGAATAAAAAAGACTGACTGATTTTAATATGAGAAGGGGTGAATACCAATGATGAAAAGTAATAGTAGACTGTAACAAGATTTCACTCACTAACATAGCGACGAACGCTTGGATATGATTCTGGAACTCCAATAAACAATGATACTGATTATTGCGTAGGAAAATCAACACACGTAAAAGGGTTCCAAACCGATGAAATATCTGCAGAGTTACAATGAAAGCGAAGGCGAAATTACCTTATACAGAATAACATGATTAATTTGCTGCCCCATAATGTTGTCTATGATTACACGTATCACAGTGTTAGGGACACCGGATTGTGCACCAGGAAGATCTTGCTGAACTACTCGATTCGCATTTTTGATAGCATTAACGACAGCATCATTTTCGGAAACTAATTCAAGGTGTGAATGTGTAGAAAACTGAAAGATCAAGTGTTTCCCATGCAAAGTAACAGGATATTTCAAGTAATGAGTGACTAGTTGTGCAGCTTCCTCCAGAACATTCATCTCGATAAGGGCTTGGTTACTTCTTTTAGAAAGAACCATATTCTTGAGTGAACCGAATGGTATTGTGAAAAGCGCAATCTCATTTTCTGTTGCATCAGAAGGCATATTTCGTATATGTACAACACGAGATGGCTGTGTCTCCATTCGATGATCAACACGCGACTGCGAAAGTGAATAACAATTGGCTAAAAAAAACCTTACCTTTTTAGTATCGACTGACTCCAAATCCATTGAAGGGTGACCGTTGCGTTGTAAGTTAATGCTTGGTACACTTAAATCTCGCTAAAGAAAGAAAACAGCGAGATAACAGGTTAAAATCAATTCTTTCACTCATAAATGAAGCCAAAAGGTGGAACTAGGAATTATTCATGTTCTATTATCAAATATGTACAATTTAAACCAAAATACACTAAGGAGATACAAATTTATTACTGTTACTACTACAAATTATTGAAAAATTCATACTGACCACCAACTCCACTTCAAGTCAATCATCCGCACTCCCTTTCCAAACTGACGATATCCGTGATTGCTCAGAAAACTCAAGTAACGCCTACAAACCTCACGAATACAAAGCGAAGCTGTACTGATTTTTCGATTTTCATTCTCAGCAGCGTCAATAAACTGCAGATGTCCGCAATGGTGCTCGGGTCGAGATTTATAGGATCAGATGAGAGTGAAAATTGCACAAACAACAATAATACTGGGCACAGGTAAAGATCTACTGGCAGAATATGAAAAACAAAGTAAATAGACAGAATTTTTGATGGACTATTGGGGATTGGCTTTTAAATCACCCTAGTTTTAGAACTTTAGAGAAAGCATTGAGGGCAGGCTTTCCAGCTAGTTTCATGAACTTTTCCCAAGGGAACCTACAGATTGAGCCATACACTAGTTGTTAGAGACTGAGACAAACATGGTCAAGAGGGAATCCGAAGCTACGTTACATAATTCCTGGATTCATAATATGATAAGAAAACTACTGTGATGTTTTCTTAGCGTCATGGCCGTACACAGATTCTCATCTAACTTATGTCTCATTATCGCGAGCACAAGCTTTAATTCAACCTTTTTCTTGTTGGAGCATGACTGAGTTTTGCGACTTATAAGAATTTGTCGACTACCCACGACGGTTACCAAACTAGCGTTGTTTTTTTACTAGTTTGTACACGGAGTTGTACAGTTTTAAGATCCTTGTTTCCAAATAAATCATCTTACTTGGAAAGAAAAGTAGAACCTGGAATCTGCCTGTCGGTTTTCGACATAGAACTTTGCACATATGTTCGGCAGATCAAGTCTCCACACTCCATGTACCACACAAAACAAGAGAAGAAAGTACAAGAAAGGCATAATAGAGACAGTAAGCAGAGGTGAGACAAAGGAATAGTAGTAACGAAGAACAACATAGTTTAATTGGGAATCATAAGTCACAAGGAGTGGATGAATCTGCGCCACTGAGAACGATTTTAAGCGATGTTGCCAAGTGTTTCCAACCATTGATTTTTGCCGTCCCGAGGACCCCAGCCTGGAAGTCTACACCTTCCTACGTGGCTTAGACCAACTGTTGTGGATTTCATTGACTCATGACAAGTTTTTGTTTGACCGCCGCTAGCTTTTTTCCAGCCTGACCCTATATCAGCTAACATTGCCCGTCGATGAAGGCGATGACTAGGCGTGCATACGTAACACATGTCCTAACCATCTCAGTCTTTGTAACTTCACAACCTCGTCGATTGATTTCCCCTGCTTACCTAGAACTCAACGCCTAACCTCAATATTGCTCACCTTATTATACCACTTCACACGGGAAATAGAGCACAGGCACCTATGACCGAAGACAGCTAATCTTTTCATGTCTTCCACTCTCAGTGGCCAGGTCTCACAGCCATAAAGGAGGACGGAACGGACTGATGAGCAGTACAGCCACCCTATCGTCGATAGTCGGATATCACGTCTACGCCAGAGACGGCGTAAACTGGCATATGCGAATCTAGCCCTCTGTATCCGTTCTGAGATTTCGTCAGAGATCAAACCGTTGGCACTGGTTGATGGTGCTTCCCAAATAAGTGAAGTGGTCAACGTGCTCTACCCCTGCAAAATGTAAGATGCTGCTACAGGACTGGACGACGTCAACCCCTAACTTAGTGATAGGGAGTGAAGTGATAGAACATGTTGACCACTTCACCTACTTGGGAAGTTGTATTAGCACCAACGGACTGATTGGCGATGAAATCTCAGCACGGATCCGAAAAGCTCGAGCTGCTTTCGCTGACTTACACCATCTCTGGCGTAGGCGTGACATCCGGTTATCAACCAAGGGACGTGTGTACTGCTCATCAGTTCGCTCCGTCCTTCTCTATGGCTCTGAAACATGGCCAATACGCGTTGAAGACATGAAAAGGTTGACTGTTTTCGATCATAGATGTCTGCGATCTCTGTCTCACGTTAGGTGGTTTCACAAGATAAGTAATGTTGACGTTAGGCGTAGAGTGTTGGGCAAAGAGGGAAAATCAATCGACGAGGCTATAAAGTTACATAGACTGAGATGGCTAGGTCACGTGGTGCGCATGCCTAACCACCGCCTTCCCCGTCGGGCATTGTTAGCTGATATAGGTTCAGGTTGGAAAAGAGCCAGTGGTGGCCAAACAAAAACATGACCTCATCAATCCATGAAATCCTTGACAGTTAAACAACTGAGTCAGGTAGGGAGATGCAGACTCCCGGGTTGGGGCCCTCGGGACTCTAGGAATCAATGGCTGGAGACAATAGGTGACATGGCTCAAAATCGTTGTCAATGGCGCAGATGTATTCAGTCTCTGTAATCTTTCATATTCCTTTCTACCATTACCCATTCTGTTTCACTCTTATATTTGTCAAACTCTATTGATTCTCTTCACTCATCTTCTTGTCTACCTCTGTGTGCTATTTGGAAGGTGGCAACTCGAACTGCTGCACTTCGGTGCCAAGTTCTGTGTTGAATCCAGACAGACAGACAGACGTGCTCTACCACTTCAATTCTTATATCTAAACTAGGAGTCGGTGCAGTCCAGTCCTGTAACATCATCTTACATTTGGCGGAAGCGAGTTGTATGCCAAACATTCATAGATTGCCGCTCAAGGTGCTCAGAAGACTCTGCATTTTGTCAGCGTCCTCACCTAGAAGAACTATATCATCTGCATATTCTAAGTCAACGAGATTATTCCCCGGTAGCAAGTTGATCCCTGAGTCTCTGAAGTGAGTTAGGGTTAAATCCATTAGTACGTCTATGATGAAATTGAATAGGAATGGACATCCCTGACGGACACCACTTTAGATGACAACTCGCCGTAAGCCCTCACCCGGCTGACAGCATGAGTACGAGTAGAGTGCCTTGACCAACGCAATGTATTTTCTTAGCATTCCTTTTGCAACCAAGCATCACCAGAGAACCTCTCGGTCGACAGAATCGAATATCGCCTTTAGGTCAAGATATGTAACGATTGTTGGACGCCGGTAGGAATGCCTATGTTCTAGAATGTCGGAGGGTCAAGATATGACCAATACAGCCTCTTCCTGGTCTAAAGCCTGTCTGGCTCTCTCGTTTTTGTACCTCCCAAGCGCCACTCAGTCTACGCAATATTATTGAGCCTAGGACTTAAGATACCATATTAGTCAAGCTAATTGCTCTGTGATTATCACACTAAGATTTGTCTCCCTTCTTGTATATGGGGATAATCAGCGACTTACAGCAACCCGACGGGACTTTTTCTGATTGCTGTACTCTGCCTAGGACCTTAGTACAATGCAGACAGTAAACTGTCTCCATCATACCTAAATACCTCTGAAGTCATTCCATCAGGTCCCGCTGCTTTGCCTTGTTTCAGATTGGTGACAGCTTTAGTAACCTGAGTTAGGGACGGAGGACCTGTGTCTATATCCCATTCAGGGAGGTGTTGGATGTTCGGCAGGTTGAGCGTGGCTGTAGACCAATTGAATTGCTCCTCGTAGTGTTATTCCCAGCGTTTGAGTCGTCCATCCTGGGAGCTAATTTGACGCCATTTTTCTCAGACTGTTTTACTTATCATTTGCCTTTTGCCACCTGTTTCCCTGATAAGCCTAAATAGTTGTCTGGTGTTGCTAATCGCCGATGTCTTTTCCATCTCTTTCGCTTTTATCGCCAACCACTGTTCACGGTCGTTGCGAAGACTTAGAATCGCTCCATTTTTTTCTCCTTCACGCTCCCAGTGGAACATAGGGCCTCAAGCTAGTGGCTTGAAGTTTCTGTAGCAGTGTTTATTTTTACAGGATGGGGTTGCTAGCCTCATGCGCAACCTTTCCTCTTTACCAACATTATTTCTGGCTTAGCGATGTGAAGGAGTGCTTCGGCCGGGGATCAAACCCCGGACCATGTACATGGTCGGCGAGCATCCTAACCGCTGTGCCACCGACGCTCATTACTTAGTAAATAAATATGCATAGAGAACAGGCTGAGTTTGAGCTCTAATCAACCTGCAAAAAATATAAGATTTAACGTCTGAAAATACTACCTTTATGCAACAATCTCGACTGTACATCGATTATATTTATGAAGGATACAGAGAGAATCTTTGATAAACACTTACCGCACTCAGTTCACTCTAAACTAGGAGGCCCCTGATGTCTTTAAATGTCAGTTTCCAAATAACGATTGATTCAATTCATAACCGCTTTGTACTTAGAAACCGCTAAGTGTACAACAAAATGGTTAGCTATCTTGATCCTATTTTACTACATCTAACGGCTTTAGCGACATAACTAAAATTTGAGTGAGATTAAAGACATTCTCCACGTTTGGCAGACGCCTGGCAGGTTACAGATACCTCTTTCAAGCCAATTATATTTTCGAATAACATAAAAATAATGCCATCTAGGCGCACCTAAAGCAAAAATAGCGTAGTGGACACTAAGGGATTATCAAACAGCACCACAGAACATGTCTGATTTGACAAGATGCAAAAGAACAACATTACTCATGGTGTTGCAAGCTGAGCCAGAGAACTTAACAGTAAACCGCCTCAAAGTTCTTGGCTACGTCGTAGTTTTGTTTGCAAGTTATTTTCACGAAGATAGCTCCCAGGTACAGACATGCTTGTGACAAGTTTACATACATCTACCAATTACCCGATACTCGCTTGAGAATCAGTTTTGAATTTACGATGCATTCCGACATAGGTCTGTTAATCCATCAGCTCTGGCCTTGTCAGTTACTGTAAAAAAAAATGGTTTTGGTATGCTGTGTAGGCAGGTGTATCCACTTCAGGATAGGGAACCAGCTGCTATCAGAAACTATGATGGCAACTCATAGCCCTCCAGACTGACTGACGAGAACTATGTAGCTACTGGTATAATACAATAAACATTTTCACGAATGATAAATGGCAAACAGATGAGACTAAAACAGAAGTTACAGATTATCTAATGGATCGAAGCAGTCCATGACACCTAGCATGGTCGTCGAACCATTCGTGAGACTCGGCCAACGTAGGACTGGCCACGTGCGCTCTATCAGGATATTTCCCCAGCAAAAATCATTCGATTCCAACAATGCTAATGTATCTCAGTGTGGAACTTTCCTCAGGTTTTACACAGGGTCTTGTTTAAAAAGGGAATGGACTACTCATTATTTCGCAAGTTGCATGATCCAGCTATCAGAATCGACCGCCTTACGCCTTTCAGGAACTCAAGTAATTCCCCGAAATTGACTTCATTCAGAACTACTGATGTAACAACACGATAACCTCTAGGTAACGCCTCATCAGTGTCTTGAAAAAAGTTGAGAGTAGCCCAGAATAGTTACCCTACTTGCAAAACAGATAAGTGAACCTGGGGATATAAACACTTCGATGGAACAGGCAACAGATTACCCAAGAAACGGCCTAATGGGTGCTGAGCGGACATATAATGGTCAATTGACCAGTCGTATTATGCTACAACTAGATTCGTTAAATTTATAGGGTTTGTCACAAACAAAAACTTTTTCAGTTATTCTGATTTTATCAAATTACACCTATGATAGCGCCACATAGGACTATAAAATCATATGCATCACTAGTATTTTAAAAGTTAACAACATCAATCCACAACTTACTTTACGTTTGTTAGGCTGAAAAAGACAAAACAGTGATTTTAGTACATTACAACTAACAGGCAGTACTTGGCATACAAACACCAATAACTTACCATAGATAGCGAACATAGAACACCGGACATGGCGTCCTAGCGCCTGTTCTAGTTTACGCCGACAGTGAATCTAAACAAACAAAAAGATTGTTCTCTTCAACCTAAAGATTGAATTATGTGAAATTATGATGAATAAATTTTGGTTTAAGGCGTATTTTTCTCTCCTTCATTTTATTTCTCGCAGAAGAACATGTCCAGTCAACGGTGTATAATTTCAATTGAAAGCCGACGTGCATACATGGTCTAACCGACTAGGAGCGCAATTCAAAATATGAGATTTCGCCTTGAAACAATGCTCCCCATTGATGACGTCTCTTATCATCCTGACAAGCGAAACATGTCTCATACCAAAAAGTTCGGAAAGCCTCATTTCTCTTTTGGTTTTTAAACGGGTTGCCAGTGTCCATCTGTTTCCTATGCTTAGATATATCTTGGTTTAATTTCACTGATCTTACACAATCCTGAATCTTCAAGATTGCATTTCGGTCCAAACATTTTATACACTGATAATTTGTGGTGTTATGTACACAAAACACTGTAAAGACACATTCGGAATTTCATTTAGTGCCATGAATTCAGATCAGAGTGAATGACTAAATTTTATGGACTGGATATACTAAATATATCAACAATATGCATTCTTCAGATCTCATAAACACATAAGTTAGCTTTCCAAAGCTTCTCCTGTTTTGTGATTCGACCAGCTACATCAGACACTTATGAGGTCGACGTCTGAAGTTCAGATATCATCCAGGGTGTTAGGAGAATCTTTAGCCAAACCTTGCAATTTGACAAATATTGCCAAAATAGATATACAAGCAGAACGTTATACTCTTATACGATTGTACTCTTCTCATATATGGTTTGATTTACTCTACGGCCCCCTGTAGACTAACTACCGTTCTTCAGTAAACACACACTGCAGTAATATTATGTGCAACTGTCAATGGAGTTGAAGATTGAACGATCAATTCTTGGTTGTTTGCTCAAAATCAACTTCCCCAATTTTCGCGGAGGCATCAATACGACAGTCATCGTCTCATCGGTCGCTGTTCAGAAAGAAGATTGAAACATCGTCAGAAGTAATATAATGATTTATTATTGTAATATTTGTTCACAGACCTTAGTCATACTTGATTTATATGTTGGTGTAACAATATAGAATACTCAAGTCAACAATTGGTGTTTTGGTTTTTGCGTCCGTTATAACTAAGCGTTTCTGAGAAATCTTCGAAGAACAGCGTGGGCCCGAGCGTAGCGAGAGCTGGGCATTAACGGTTATGAGACTTTGCTGACAATTTCTGACGATAGAAACAGATCTGGCGGATTGAAACAGTTGGTGAAAGTTTGGATAGTCGCCGTTCATTTTCCTGGTGCCGGTCAAGTCCTCTTTGAACAAGCGATATCTGGAACATTTTTGGAATTGGGTCAAGTTCAACAATGCCTGGGTCAAAGAAGGGACAGAGTGTCTTGGATGCAAACAGGAAAGTAAGTCATGGTGACTTGTCTGTTAATTGTAACGATGTGTCTGATGTTAAGCATGACATGGTTGATGTTACTGTTTCGCCGTTCAGGGATGATAGGTACATCAAACTCCCTAAATTAGAACCACGGTGTTTTGATGGAAACCCGGCCGATTATTTACAATTTGTAAAGGAGTTTGAGATCATGCTGAGTAGTTTTCTATTAACTGATGAAATGAAGTTAATGTATTTAATGAGATATTGCACTGGAGATGCTGCAAGAGCTATACAGTGCTGTAAGTTTATGAAGCCAAAAGAGGGCTATTACGAGGCTCTGAGCATATTACGTCAAAGGTTTGGAAGACCTTCGATGATTGCAGGGAAATTATTCGACGCTGTTAAGGATAATGGTGGTCAATTACGGGATGACTCTCAGGCACTCACTGAGTTTTTAGATAATTTGCTAATTTACAAGAATGGAATGATTTCGATGAATCGCATGAGTGACCTCAACTCGAGTTTTATACTAGAAGTAATAGCAAGACAAACACGGTTTTGTTTTACACGTGTGCAAGAGGTGCATACAGAAGTGAACTGTGAACCGGTGAGCAAGTTCAGTGATAAGCTAAATGTAAACTCCAGGTCTGACTCCGAATTGTGTGACGATAACGGTGCTGTGAAGAAGTCTGTAGTTGCAACTGGTAAGCCGTTGTTGAATAGAGTGTCACAGAATAGAGTTACTGCTTCAGAGTGGAGTTCTGACTCCACAAGTTTACAAAGTATATCTAGTCAGAGTGAAGTTATAAAACCTTTAATGATTTGTGAGAAGGAACCAAAATTGTCTACTTCTGTTATTAAAGAGTTTGAAAATGATGAACTTGACAGTAAATTGAATATTTGTGGTAATGATCATGATAGTGTAGATTTGTCTTTGGTTGATCATGATGAGATGAGGGATATGCCTACTACTGCTAAGTTGAACAAAGGTTCTGTACAACTTGAACGTGAAGTAGAATTGAACGCAGATGCAGTTCCAGAAGGTGCGCATACTTGTGAGACAGTCAGTGTAATCGATCAGCGTGTAGCCCACCTATCATCAGATGATAGTGCTAAACCCGAACTAGTAGTGAAAGACAGCAGTGGTGGTAATCTTGCAGTTGGACAACTATCTGAAAGCCGAAAAAGAACAGCTTCTGATCCACCGCTAACTTCATCACCTTGTGTCACTCAGTCATCGTTGGTGTTTTCATCCACAATGAAACAGATGCCCATCAACTCAAGTATCTTGTGCAATGACTATGCTAGTATCAGTTCGTTTGAAAGGACGAATATCAATGGTCAGTTTAGTGTGGATAAGCCAAGTGTAAAGGAGAGAGTTATTGTTAAATTGACTTGCACGAATAAAGGCATTTCTAGTTTCAAGTTACTATTTGAATGTTATAATCTTTGGTGTAAATTACTCTGTTTCTACACTTGGTTGATGAGATATGTCGTGTGTTTGTTGGTCATCCATATTCTACGATACAATGACATGGGCGTGTTGCCGTTCAGATTTGAGGATATAGCTGATAGAAGGAAGTTAGCAAATGAACTCTGCGACGATTTTCCGACCTAGGGCGTCAACCTGAGAAGGGTTGTAGGCGTACTGCTGTAAGTCCTACAATTCTTCAAAGGGTAGCGCATCAATGAGCAGCCCAATGTGCTCGGTGTGTGATTTTGTACATATGTTCATATTGCATATACTGAATTGATATCATCTGTCATCTAGCTGTTGGTAATTCTGTTTGTGTCCGGACGACTTCCACTTGGATCATCAAGCTGAGAAGGAATGTAGGCGTACTGCTGTAAGTCCTACGGTTCTTCAAGGGTAGTTTGTCGTGTCAGAATCCACAACATTTGATGTGTTGATTGTACATATGTTTGTGTTAAATAATTGTGTGAGTTCCAATTGATGTAATTGTTGGTTAATCTTGTTTGTGTCCGGACATTCCACAAATTACAATGGTCAATCTGTGAAGGTTTGTAGGCGTACTGGTGTAAGTCCTGCAATTCTTCAAAAGAATTCCATGAAGATGTGATCCGCGAGGTTGTTTGTACTATTTGTATATACGTGTGGTGTGTCATATCAATTGGTGTATTTTGGATTCATCGTGTTTACTTGTTGTTTTTGTATCTTGTTGTTATTGCGTAATTTTGTTAAAATTTTCGTCGTGATTACTTCTGAAGTTGTTTCGAGTCTTCTACATCCGTGAATGAATTGATTGATGTTAGAGACAGCAGATGGGTCGTAAACGCCGGGGAGGCTATTACTGAGAATGGCATGCATACGGATATAATGATTATCTGTGATCCCACACGTCGGGGAGCGGGAGTGTAGACGACTAAGGCTTGCGTACGTCACCGCTACTAGAACTGAGGCAGAATGAGTGACAAGCGATTGCAGTGGTAATTGGTAATGAGGAGATACGAGGACGTGAATGGAGTAGCATGAGTTGGTGCTATGGTCACGTTGCATTCTGCAAGAGTCATTCTAGCAAGTGGCGATTGTGTTGCAAGATGTCAAGAGGAGGTCTCTGTCTGGGGGCGCAGGTCGTCATTGATGTGTGAGATTGTGCTGTGGGTATGCTTGTGGTGTGTCGGCTTTTCTGTTTGCTTTCCATTTCAGCTCTGTCCGTGTGACCCAGGTTCTCGCAATGGCATCCAAGTCAACGTGCATTGGTCGTGCAGGAAAAAAGGGATGGATCCCTTTTTTGCCGGGGAGTGTCAATGGAGTTGAAGATTGAACGATCAATTCTTGGTTGTTTGCTTGAAATCAACTTCCCCAATTTTCGCGGAAGCATCAATACGACAGTCATCGTCTCATCGGTCGCTGTTCAGAAAGAAGATTGAAACATCGTCAGAAGTAATACAGAGATTTATTATTGTAATATTTGTTTTCAGACCTTAGTTTGCTTAGTTCGCTTATTCCTTTTATATGTTGGTGTAACAATAAACAAATATCAAACGGCAGATCGGTGTTTTGGTTTTTTCGTCCGTTATAACTAAGCGTTTCTGAGAAATCTTCGAAGAACAGCGTGGGCCCGAGCGTAGCGAGAGCTGGGCATTAACGGTTTATGAGACTTTGCTGACAACACCCATTCAATTAATAGTCGATCTAACTATGTCCACTTGATACAGAGGGGAACCATAACCAACATACGAATGAAATATGAGAAAACTAGGTCGAAACTTACCGCAACATCACATGAAAAGATAAAAGTTACTTGGACATCGTTTATAATCCACAAACTGGTCTCCTTCCCAAAGTGAATAATAATAGTTTATATTTTCATATAAACATAAATGTACATGAAAATGCATGCTATTTTTACAGGGACGATCAAGAATGATATAATATCAAATCGTAGATTGTCTAGAAGATAATAATGTTTCAACAGTTACATATTTGATATATATATATATATATATATATATATATATATATATATATATAAACACACTCATGTTCTGAACCAGGCCGTATAGTTATTGAATTGTGCAGTTGTCCTCCAGGTTGAGCGGGAAAATCGACTTCGTTTCGTTTTCATCCCGTGCTTGTCGGCATACGATAACCAACCAATATTTAGGTAAGTACAAAGTTTACAAAGGATTGAAAGCTGTTTTAGGAAAGTTAAAGTGCTAAGGTGAATCATTAAATGGTAATGAAATAGGTAAGTGCAATATATCATTAATAGATACATATATATAGGAAACAGAATAGGGAAGTGATTATTCCTTAGACCGACAACGTTCGTTTGCAATGTATTAGAAAATGAATGTGATAAGACATTGTGAAGTGGTATTCAAAGATCCGACAATGGACAGCAAGTTAATTCATAAGATGCCCCATAAATCTGTGCAGATCCCGCGTG